AGCATGGTGACCTTACACACCCTCTACCACGTACCTGAGTAGCTGCTGCACGGCAGGAATCAAAGGTAAGAAACACACACACATCTTACCTATGACATCATGTTTGTATTTATGTCATTATTATCGTTATAAATGTTGTTGGTATCGTTAAGTTATCATGGCTGAGGTGCATGAAGTAGAGGAATTAAAGGTAAACCGACGAGCCGTAAACCCGGCGCTCGCGCGATTATTGTTTACAATTTATGAATGTAGATGGCGTGACGATCGCGCATGCCTCACACCTGTGGCTTCCTTCCTGCAGGTAAAGGACCCGGAGAAGGAGCCGGACGATGTGGTAGCCGCGAGCAAGGCCCTGAAGACGGAGCAGGCCGTGCTGGAGGCAGAGACGGAGAGGGCGTGCAAGGTCAACGATGGGGTCGTCACCATCCCCTTACTACCCTGCTACCTAGCGGGAGCATGTGTAAGCACAGTACATGTAGCTGTAGACTGTTAGACTAGGTAGGATAGCAGAGAGATGGAAGACAGAGGGTACCTGGCGGTAGCATGTGTATGGATAGATAGTGGGTGACATATGTGACATACTATTACAGACATGTCTAGCGAGTGTGTGGAAGCAAGCTCATATATAGACATAGGTGATGTGTTTTATTACAGACATGTCTAGCGAGCGTGTGGCAGTAAGCTCAGGCAGACGCTTCATGACAGATCTGCTGGTGCGATCGTTGATGGAGGATGGAGGGCTGGAGTCAGCACTGCAGGCTGCCATCAAAGCTGAGGTGCATGAAGTGGGGAGAGAGCCCTGGCTCTCTCCTCTGTCTTCCATCTCTCTGCTATCCTACCTAACAGTCTACAGCTACATGTACTGTGCTTACACATGCTCCCGCTAGGTAGCAGGGCAGACAGAGCCCTGGCTCTCTCCTCTGCGGTGGGCAGCAGCAGGGTCCAGGCATCCTGCAGTACGGGCTGTGCGGCCGCCTGGATGCTAGCGATGACTCCACCGTGGGTGGCCAGACTCACTACCTTCTGCTTGAGGCTGGCTAGTAGAGAGCTGCCGGCTCCGACTCCCAGCTCTGCGACGTCCACGTCATTACTGATCGCTGAACACAGCTGTGGTGGGAACGAGGGAGAAGAACAAAACAGATCTTTAATGTGACATTAATAATAATCATAATAATAATATAATATAATCATATAATTTAGTTGGTTTCAATTTGAGATGATCGCCTAGTACAGTTGTTGCAGGGACGAGGTGGAAGATGACGCATGTTAAACGATATGATTAAATGATATCTGAGTTATATTAATTAATGATCATATAATGTAATAATATTAAAATATAAAGAATAACCCTGTAGACACACCTGTGTACGTAGCAGGTGCAGGGCTGCCACCACCATACACTCCTTCTCCTGCGGTACCCTCCCTCCTCCCTCCTCCCCCCCTCCCCCCCAAACATTCCCCTAACCCTGTAGACACACCTGTGTACGTAGCAGGTGCAGGGCTGCCACCACCATACACTCCTTCTCCTGCGGTA